TGTATTGCCCGGGGAGGAGGTTTCTATTCCCGTGTCATATTTCATGCCTGCCCTCTACAGGACCAGCCCATGTGGGCTGAATGGTGATTTCAATAGAGGGACTTAGTTTGCGGTAGCGTATACGACCTGTTTATTCTTAAAAAAGTTTTGTTCCAGTATGCGACTAAGATGGTCAAGCCTTGGCATGATTGTTAGCGGGGTTTGGCAGATTTTAATAATTCAGTTGGCCCAATTGTGAAAAATCAGTGAGGGTCGAACCCACACAGCAGGGAAGGCTTTTGTGCGGCCAACGCTCTACCATTGAGTTACGAGGCTCATCGTGAGCCGTGAATTTAGGGATGCTTGAAGCGATTTTACCCGCCCAACTTACTGCTCGTATGGAATCCACCATTACGGAACAGCAAGCTAACTGCCCAGGCAGGATTTCCTAAGCAATTATCTAGAATCCACCGGAATGACTGCTAGGCTCACTTAATTGTTAGGAGGGTTGGCAGATTTGCTTAATTCAGTTGACGCAATTGTGAAAAATTATCGTCGAACCCACAAGATTAAATGGAGTTTACCATAAGCCAGACTTCAAGGAACATTTATGTTCTTTGAAAGAAACCAGTAATTCATGCACTTTCTGACATGGACCGACATAATTACCTGGTCTCATAGTTCCACACGAAATACTATGAATACCAGAAGATGAAGATGTGTAAGTGTTAGGACTAAGTTTTGGCTAGGGGATAAGGCTATGAAACGGTAATATCTAATCTTTCCGGAATAGTATTGCCCGGGGAGAAGGTTCCTATTCCCATGCCATACCTCATTTCTGTGAGGTCCGTTGACAAGGTTCTAATCAGAGTGATTGAGCGCCACACATGCGTAAGCATTCACAATTTACTGATCACAAAATTTATTCCAGACAATGTTGGTAGAATTCCAAACTCTCCAATATTTTTGCTCACGAAGTTTCGCTTGCGCTTTTTTAAAAACATGGTATAAAGGCCTCCTTTTTCAACGAAAAACATCGATCTCGAGCAGCCTTTCGGCATGCGTTGCAAGTTTATCCTCAAAAACAGGAGTGATTACGATCAAGCGAACCCTGCGCATAAAAAAGGAACTTTGGGCTTTTGGATCGAGCACACGATAGCAGATCTGGCAGTTTGTGATGAGATGAAAGACTCGAAAGCAGGGTGAATCTGTCTGCATGTGAATCCATCATTAAAATTTCAGATATCGTACGTGCCGATGTTCGGAGTGGAGCTGAATCCTACACAGCTGACGACCAGGTAGCTAATGCCTACAGTCTTTCATGTTTTATGTTAAAAAAGGCAAATAGTACCTTCTACTTTCTATTTTAAATTACAAAACTCGATCGTGAGGATAGCGGAGATTTATGATAGAATTCGGTTGTCCCTTGTGCTCGTAGAGACTATGACTAAAAATGATTACCAGAATATGGTAACTAATCCCAAAAGGACAAAACGTTCTCTCGGATTGGACCACAATCGGAATCCTCCACCCCTTGAAGGACAGGAGAATAGGAACGCCCCTCATAATAAGAGTATCTATCTTCGTGTCTATACTAACACGAAGCTAAGCACAAACTCTACCTGTAATCCTAATCTTGACCTTAACCCTACTTTGAACCCTAACCCTAAACTGAACTATCAACTTCTGCAAAAATTTCCATGCTACGATTGCAAAGTCGGGTTCGCAAGCATAAACTTTCGGTTATTCATTGTCCGGCCGCTATACCGACCCGGGAAAGAACTTGTGATTTATGTGCTATAAACTGTATTCATATCCCTGTTTTTAACAAGTAACGAAACCTCAAACTTCACCCTAATTCTCCTAGAATTTAACGCAATGCCAGCTGTATTACGGGACGTTCCTATTCTCTTATCCTACCGACCAGAAGAGGTTTTAGGAAGACGACCCCTACCGACGCCAGTACCATTGGGGGAGAAGTGCGTGGGTCGACTTGTTTGCCCAGCTTAGGAAAACCTGCCTGGCAGTCAGCTTACTGCGTCCGCATTGGTGGATTCCATACGTGCAGTGAGTTGGGCGAGAAAAATCGATCCAAGTATGATTAAAATCACGGCGCACGCTGAGCCTCGTAGCTCAATGGTAGAGCGTTGGCTATACAAAAGCCTTCCCTGCTGTGTGGGTTTGACACCCACCGAAGCCGCGACTTTTTAACAATTGGCTCAACCGAATTATTGAAATCTGCTAAATTTGTAACAAATTTTTTCATCAATAGCTACATCAGTCAGGTTTCTAAATGTTTTCATTGCTTTATTTTTTGACCTTCTGCGAGAATATAAGGACCCGACTGCTGGGCTTTTTCCCTTATTCCTAAGTGCTCTCAGCTGTGAATGCATCCTGCAAATATGCCGTTCATTGCGCTGTTATGTGCTGCTATGCGACAGAACCTTCGGCCTCATCATTTGATTTGCTTTCAGTCAGTATGACGTCCCTTGGGATAGTCAAGATAATATGAAACATTCGCCTTCGGCATATAATCTAAACGCTAAATCCCCCTTATCTTTTTTCGGTTTGCCCTTTACCACAAAGTGGTCCTTTTTTTCTGGCGTCTGGGGTCGCAGTTGCTGAAATAAATGCACTTAAAGAATAAGCATATCGATTTAGATGACACACACATATCCTTCTGAAGGTCAGCGGGAAGCGACCACCATCAATAACGGCCAGGTAACTGAACCTAGCGAACTCTTATTGGTCAAACCTTTAGCCAATCGCAGGAACCGTTTAAAGTTGACTGTCTTTTGCACATGTCCCATTCAGCTAGCGATGAACTGGGGGCATCAGATTCGTACATTTACACAGTATACGTTATTTGATTCCTAAAGAAGTCGAGGTATATCGAATTAACTATTACTATTTTGTAACGACTGATTTTTCAAGTGGGACAGGACGACATTTTTTGATTGGGGGTTTTAACTGTTTACTCTACCGTTTAGTAGTCAAGTCTTATTGGCAGGCAGTGTTTGTGACGCGCTAGGGGCACAAACTCGCAGAAGCTGCTAGGTAACAAAGGCATCGCGGTTTGCGTCGAATAAACTTGAAGCTAGTTCAAAGCGGTGACTTTCCAACAAAGACCCCTGGGGGAAATGTGCGATTTATTCAACAATGCGTCGGGGGTATCCTGTGGGATTTAACCTCGTTTAGGCTGCCATTTATGGTGCCTCTGGAGGTGTTAAAAAGTGTCCGGGCGATTATCTCTTCAAATTCTGCCCACATGGAAAAAAACACGGTTTGTTCTCTTAGAAGCAGAGAAATGCGTGTTTTCAGAAATCGATAGAAGACCTTCAGAGGTTTCACTAACATTTTCGTTACGGGAAGTAATTATAGGTCGGGAGTAGATGACACTGTGAACGGAAAGACAGTTCGGTCTAGTGACAGCAGAGGCTATGATGCAAAGCAGCTTCAGCTGCCAATGCTGCGTGAGAGCTAGGTTGCTTAGTGTGTAGTCTGTAGTCCTCAGTCAAATCACGGTTAACTCTGAGTGTATCTGAGATAACTTTGGCATACGGAAACTTACTGATCTAGTAGAGCGACTTTGCGGGTTCTGGTGATCATAGGTGTTGCGTGTTTCCCTAACTGAGGAGGCACAATTGTTAGGTACCTGATAGACAGTAGTTTTACACCAAATCAGCTGTTGAGCACAATTTCGACCACTAGGCGAAGACGGACTACTCCCAAACGGGCACAAAT